CCATGTCGCTTAGAAGAAGGATTCAGGGGGATTTTCACACAGCTGTGAGCGGTGTCCCATGCTGCCTGCTCCATCTGTCTTCCTAGTACCGATGTCACTGCCCTTGAATGAGTTCAGCCACCTCCCTTCTCCTCCCCTCCTATTTGCTGTTTTTCTGGAAGTTGTGTGACCTTTGCCTAGGTTCCACCTGCCTACTAATAATTTTTAGGATGATTTTCAAAGATCATCAGGCAAGTAAGAATTATCCCTCACTTAAAATCTTTGCTTGACCACCTTGGGCAAGTCAGTTAATTTCTCTGAGTCTCTAAGGTAGCAATTCTCAGTCTTGATTATATACTGAAGTTACCTGGGTGCTTTAATAAATGCTGATGCCTGGGCCCCGTCTTCAGAGATGTTGGTCCGTTTGGTTTGTGGCTGATTTTGCTCTTTCAAAGTAGAATTCTTAAGAGTAACATCAGTCTCGCCTGTTTAGCTGTTAAAAATGAAGAAATCTCAGACCCTCCTTCCCAGGAGTATTGCATCAGAATTTGCATTTCAACAAGACCCCAGGTAATTTATAGTACATGATGGGTGGAAAAGCATAGCTCTCATTCCTTACCATTGAAAGGTGGATAATAATATTCACGATGGGCTGAGCTCTGTGCTCCATGGTTTTCTCTGTATAATCTCAAGAGAGTGCAGAGGAGGAACTGCATTCACAGCATCTCTCTGGGCTTCCTTGCCTTTCTCACAAAGCTCTGTTTCTGTGGCCTGGTGGGTTTGTTGGGGTGGTCATCCTTCTTTGATGTGGGGAGGCTGATGTTGGCGTTGAAACAGCCATAGAAAACAGTTCTACTAGTTAGTGTTTTCCTTTTATCTAGAAACCGGACCTCCCTCCAAATATTTAACAAAATTTACCTGCTTTTCCTATCACATTTTCATTTGATCTGGGTTTTTTTTTTTTAACCACTCTTATTGGGTAATTTGAGGAACTGTATGAAGTAGTTATTAGGGTGGGAATTACATGAACCAGAAACTGTAGGAGTTGGCCTCAAGCTGGATGGACAAGTTTGTTTAAGGAAATCAGCAAGCTGATTTTTATAAACAAAATTTCATTGGAACAGAGCCCTGTTTATTTGTTTCTGTATTGTCTAAGGCTGCATGCACAGCATGATAGCAGCATTTGGTAGTCATGATATAGACATGTGGCCTCCAAAAGCTAAAATAATATTACTTAGCCTCTCACAGATGAAGTTTGTCAATTCATCACTTGGAGCAACCATTAAATGAGGGCAAGGTTGAATGTCCACTGGTCATCGTCCGATCTCTTTACTTGGGTCTGTGGCACAGCTTATGGCTTGAGTCCCAACCAGACAGAGCAGCTGTGTGGGCATGTGGAGCCAGGCAGAGGGAGGACCCAGGACTGACTTGTCTTCCAGCTGGGAACAGACAGGAGCCAAGAGACTTATCAGCTTCGTACATGGAGAGTAGCCCTTGTTAAGTTGGTGGAAGTATCTCTGGGCTCCTAGCTAAAACATTCCCTTCCTAAGCAAATACATTTCCAACTGGAAAGGAGCTTCATTAGCAAACCCTGAGTTAAACCAAAAAAAAAAAATTATTTCCAGTCAAGGTAGAAAGGAAGGACCAAGGGAAAAAAAAAAAAAAAGACTCGGAAAAAGTGAAAGATAAACGAACTTGTTGCCAGCCTTTTCCCAGCAAGAAATTCCCTCCTCAGGGAACTTTTCAAGCACTTGGAATGTAGACATGAAACCATGCTTGGATACTATCAAAAGTTTCTAAATTAAAAGCATGTGCTCTTCTGTATCTTTTTTTCTCATCATGGAGCTATAGAGAAACTTAGAGTCACTTAAGATTTGGACTGTGCTGTCTGCCTGAGAATCAGCAATTGCTACCTATGAGGCAGGAATTTATTGTACAATTGAACTTTTAAAAAGCAGGCAGAGGGGGACTAGGGTTGTGACTCAGTGGCAGAGCGCTTGCCTAGCACTGGTGAGGCACTGGGTTCGATTCTCAGCACCACATAAAAATAAATTAATAAAAATAAAGGCATTGGTGTCCACCTACAATTAAAAAATAATAATAATTTAAAAGAGGAGGAGCAAACAATGGTAAGCAGAAAGAGTCTCCCCAAGCGTGGGTTCTTGCAATGGGACACTCCTTCGACCCTATCTGATATGTACATGTGGTTTTTTTCTGTCATTATTCTTTGGGGTTCCTTCTCTCATACTCGTTTGCTTCCATTTTTTTCTAGTAGGGGCTTGTGAGGCCAAGTAGTTGGTTATTAGAGGGTCTAAGGAGGCCCATGGATAGCAGCTGGGTTGAACTGAAGTCTAGTAATGAGCTGTTGCCCATCATCTCATCCAAGTGGTGTTTCTAGATCTGCAAATGGTGATGAATAAGTGAAAATTTCAAGTTGGACCAAAAAAAAAGAAAAAGAAAAAGATACTAGCATTCTTTGTCTAACAGATTGTTCAAATTATATTCTTGCTGTTTCATTTTGCAAGTTTTTATCAAAAGAGAAAATTAGAAGTCTTTGCATAATCTCTGTGTACATAGGTTTTGCTGCCAGTGTGTTCTTTCTGGTGTAGAGCTGGCTCTGCTATTTGCCCGTCATGAGGATATCAATGTGGCTGACTCTGCTTTCAGAGCAGAACTTGAAATGTGTGGTTTACAAACTTACGATAGCTTCATAGAAATGATGATGGTCTTGTGCCCAATCATTGCAAAAAGTAGATTATTTTTCCAGGTTTTTTTTTAATGTTCTGTAATTTTCTGAAAAAAAGAATCAGTTTGGTGGTTCTGATTGAATTGACCAGTAAATGAGTTTTGCTACGAGTGAATCTGATGTCAGGAGATTGCAAGAGAAGTAACAGATGTGAGGATCTCTGTTTACAAGAAAGACACTTTTCTCTTTAACCACTACATGCGAGTTATGAGAGAGGTTCACATTTTCTTTTCTCTGTATATTTACATGAAGTTTCTGGAAATCATTTTGAGGATTCTGTACATGACAAGAGTTTCCCAGGGGCAATAGTTGAGGGATTTAGGGATGAAATTGGTCTGTGCATCAGGGATGGGAAAGGATTCCAGGCTCTTCATATGCTTTATGAATTAATATCTGTATGCATTACCCTCTTAATATAACACTGAACCAGGAAGTCTTGTGAGCCACAGGAGTTAGCTGTAAAATACCCAGGGCCTCCCTTCATTTTTTGCTATACCCTTTTTCTATTTTATTTTGCACTTTGAAGTTTTAGATAAAATAGTTTCTTCCCTTATATTTTGCTTTATTCCAGGTTTTTGCATTACACGTAACCCTGGCCATAAATCTCACTAAAGGCCAGTGCCACGTACAGCATTGTATGGTCAACATCTGAGTGTACAGACTCTGAGCTCTAATCCTGGGATCCCAAGGGGGTCATAAAAACTGTGGCCCGAGAAGTTTCGGGTCTTTCCCCCATTGTCAAAGTGGGATAAAACCAATTGTAGAATAGGGACAATTCCTGTCTCATCCTAGTGAGTCCCAAAAGGAAGTCAATGTGATGGCCTTTAGTTGACTTTTTGAATTCTCCTGAGAAGTGGTAGCCAATCGCAATGAATGGAAATGTGCTGTTAGGTGTTCTGTGATTTGCAATGCCCTTGGACTAATCTTCTTTAATCCTTGCAGTAACCCTAGGAGTGAGGTACTAACATCTCTATTTTACTAATCAGGAGACTCAAATCCACAGAAGCAAAGGATTTTCTCTGGATTTCATGACTAAGAAGCAGAGGTGGTGTCCACATCCAGACCCTGATTCCACACACCAGTCTCTTTCCACTGCTGTGTGTGGTGGTGACCGTGAGATATGGATGGACAGCCAGGGAAGCAGAGTCCTGTGTAGCTGAAAGAGGGAGGAAGGGAAGGTATCAGGGTGGTGGGGAAGGAGGATGCATTCACAGGAAGCCAAGAAGCAAAGAGAAAGGTTATTTTGTGTGTTGCAGAAGAGTTCACCTTCTTCTGGTTTCCTGATGCTCTTCACAGGGCCTTGAGAGATTTGGAAGGATTTGTTGAAAGTGGGAAGGTATAGGGTATCCTCCATAGTTTCCTCTGCATGGCTTTTATTACCTGTAAAGGGCCAAACAGCTAATGTGTTAGGCTTGTAGGCCAACAACCTGTCACAGGTCTGTCACAACTACTCAGCTCTCTCCTTGTACCGTGAGAGCAGCCACAGACAATACATAAACGAGTGAGTGTGGCTGTGTTCCTGTGGAAGTTATTTACAGAAAGCAGCCAGCTGGAGACCACAGTTTGCTGGTCCCTGCCTTAGAACAATGGCTTTTACCCAGGCTGCACATTACAGTCACCTGGGGAAACACTGAAAAGTATCAGTGCCCTGGTCCTTCCCCACAACCACTAAATCTTTCTGAAATAGGATCCAAATATCTATCAAATCAATCGTGTGTGTGTGTGTGTGTGTGTGTGTGTGTGTTCGTGTATATATGCATGTATGTGTGTATATAAAATCTGAGAATTCTGTAAAATTCTGGTATGAAAGCTGGGTGAGGACCCAGATCCTAGATTCTGAAGCAGTAGTTCTCAAAGTGTGGGCCCAGGAAAAACATCAGCATTCGTGTGTTAGAAATCAAAGGGCTAAGCCCCATTCCAGACCCACTGAGTCTCAGTCTCGGGAGTGGGACCCAGAATCTGTGTGTCTTAACCAGTCCTCCAGGTGGCTCCAAAGCAAACCAAGTTGGAGAACTCCAGGTCTAGAGCTTTCAGAATAAGCATTCAAGCCCGGATCCCTCCCCTGAATTCCCATCTTGGGTAAACCAGGCATAACATTCTAGAGTCAGCAGGATATAGCACTAAACCTCCAGCCTCCAGTCCCACTTCCCCTTTACTACACTTCCCCGAGCCCTGGAGTTTTTATCTATAAAAAAGGGTGATATTGATATGCTTGCCCGTATGATGCTTAGGGTGGTTTAATGGTCAAATGTATGCGAAGGCAGTTAAGATACTCACAAGTCTGGCACACACATCGCCACCTGCTGTACTGTAATGAGGTAGAAGGATTTGCAGTTATTGTGCATGGCCTTGATCCCAGGTTCTTGGTCCAGGGGGCTGCTGTGGCACAGTAACAGGTACTCAAGGATTAGTTACTGTCTTACCTTCACCCAAACCATGGTGTTTCTGCCTTCTGAAGGATAACAAAGTCACAAGGAGAAGAAAGCAGCACCAGAGAGCAGTACCACCCAGACAAGAGGATGGGGCACCCTTCACACAGAGCAGGAGGTAGCAGGTAGAATGAGGTCCCATGCAATGTGCTAAATCCATAAGCCCTTAAGTGAAGCTGATGCCATGAACGGTGAATCCTCTTGGGATACTTTCCCAGGAGCCTCAGGACCACCTGATGGCACATCTTGCTACACATTACCTGTCGAGAAGTGGTACTAGCTATAATCACAGACATGTCCCAACAAGCTTAGATACCTTTACAAATGGCATACAGCATTTGTTCCTTTGACAAACTAGGATGCTTTGGGGGGCAAATTTATGGTTCTTAGATTTGACAGTAAAGAAGCTAAATACTTTTTGACATAAATATCCCTGAGAACCTCTTTCATAATATCACATACTGAAGGAACCAGGGTCTGCGGTAATTCTCTAGAAACAGCTGGCGGTATCTGTTGGTTTATAGATGTGTGCATCTGAACTGAAATAAAGATCCTTTGGGAATCAACTAGCTTTCAGAGACTTTAGAGTTATTATCTGGAGACACGTCTATGCCCCAATCAGCACCATTGGTAAAATGGCCTCTTCATCTTCCTGTCTTGCCAAAAGGCCCTCCTCTCTTCAACGTTGTATTTTCTTGACCTCTTTTGATTCATTTGCAACACAAATATTGGGGGTGGGAGGTCAAAGAGAGGTCTGTCAATCTTTACTTGGATAGAGGCACCCAAAATGCTATTGGACATGTCATTATGCACATGAAATATTAATTTTTGTTAGTATAATGCCTTTTATCCAAAAGGCATTTTTTTCTGGTAGATGGTGAGGAAAAGATTGAAAGAGATTAGCGTGAACCATTACCCATCAGAGTTGTTGCAGGTGTAACGTTTGGTGTCCATCAGGGGTGCGGGTCGCCTCTGGTTTCCCCTCTTCGCCTTGCTGAAATATCCTAATCCCAAAGAATTAGTTGAGGCTGCTTTTCTCAGGGCCGCAGAAGTGCTTTAGTGCATTGATCTGTTGAAATATGAAACAAGCAGGGTGTGAAGGAGCTTGAAATATGCTCTTTTCCAGATGTTCTTTGATTCTCTCCAACCCTGATTGCCCCCAAAGACCATCCTGAGTTGGAGGTTGCCAGTGATGACTCATATTTCTTTCCGTGATCAAGGCAATGATTGTAAAGCCCCATCGTCTTCCCCCAGAGCCCGTGTCTGGGTCTTGTCTAGGTCACACTTGACTTCTGAGAGTGAGAGTTGCAGAGTCTCCCTGGATTGGACTGCAAAATATTTGCACATCGATGCTGGTTTTGTGATTTGTTGCTCTTCCCAGGATGGAAAACTTTCCCCAAATAGGAATAAAGGATTGGTATTCTCTACAGTGACCTTCTGTGAAAGAGAAGTAGTGAAATAGCTACTTTCTCTGCAATGAGAGTCTGGAAAGCAAGGAAAGTAAATGTGGATATATTTCGGGGAAAGTGAAAAAAAAAATCTAAAATCCAAAAGAAAAAAATTGTAAAGCATACTTAGCATTCACATTCTGAAAATCTCATTCCCTTGAGAATTAAAAAGAAAATCTAGGATGTGAATAAATTAATGGAGGTTCCTCTGAATGTGTTCTATGCCAGCTGGTTAAATAGAGGCTCAGAGAAACCCTATAGAGGGTGGTCCTCCGGGGATTATGCAAGGCAGGTAAGTGTCTACCTCTAAAAGGTGTCACCATGCGGGCAGGGGAGATTTTCTATACATTCAGAGATAAATGTGTGGCCGCCTACCTCACCATCCCCAGAGCCTTTGAACCAACATATTTCCTCTGCATTTCTTCCAAGGAGGAATATGACTGTGCTCTTCACAACTTTGATCTGTGTGCACCTGGCAGTTCTGACCTATACAGGAAGTGATCTGAATACCTAGGGGTCTTCATGTTGTCATCTGTAAGATGCAGTGAAGACCCAAGGAGCGGGGGTTAAGTGTTTCTTCTAAATTCACACCTTGAGGCACACTGGTGACTTGAACCTGCCTGCTCCGGTAACAAACATAGCACACTTAATTATGATACACTAAAAAGATAGTTAGCTGGATTCTTCAAGGAGCCAGATCTAAATTTAAAACTAATAGTAACCATAATATCGGGTGAGGAATAAATGCGACAAAGCACAGAAGGTATAGTGAGACCTCTGTATTTGCTCCCATTTTTCTTCCTCTTCCTTTAGGGATCCATCTCTCTCTTGAAGCACCTGATGCTTACTGTGACCTTGAAGACCACATGATCAGTCTGGATGAAGGTGATTTATGTGCCTTTAAGGCATTCTGCCCTAATTACTGCAGCTGTGTGCTTTTGTTTACCTCTCCTTTCTGCATGCCAATGGACCTCTTTTCAATGTAATTAAGGCATCTCATTAACAATAATCATTTTAAAAAATAGGACTCATACTTAGATGTAAATTCTCAATTTTGGGTCAGAGATTTAGGAGATAATCACAGCCTCCTAAAATTTTCACCTAAAAATTGCTAATCTGCCTCTGGGTGTAGCTGACAGCTGAGAGTTTTGAGGACCCCATAGGCAGCACTCACATAATGCAAAGAAGATCAGAGACAGACTATGCCAAGAGTAGCATTAACCAGCTCAACTTGCTAACGCCATCCCTGCAGAAAGCATAAACCCTCCGCTGCAGATCCTATGAAATCTCATCATTTAGTCCTGGGGTTTTTCTGACCAACCAAGTGCTCCATAATGACACCATTGAACCCATCCAGGACAGCAGTGTGCACTGAGGAAGCCATATGGTGATGGCTGCCGGCCTCTGTTTCAGAGACCTGAGAATGTTCCATGAATAAGTGTATTTGTTCATGTCATCCTTATTACAACCCTGAGTTGTGCACACGAGGAAAAGAAGTCAGAGTGGCCAAGAAATTTCACAAATTTTAGAAGTCTACAGTAAACCCATGTAAAATGCCCCAAAGAAATCCCTTCCAGAACCTGAATTCTATATCATGTATTTGACTGACAGGGACTGAGTCCCACTGGGAAATGGCTAATGTTTTAGAAATGTGTTGGCCCTAATATTTAGCCGTTAGCCTTCCATCTTGCTGTTGCCCTTAGCAGGAGCAGAGGGTGAGGCTGTGGTCTCCCTTCTGAACCAAGGCATTGGGCTCTAACTGTCAACCCAGCCACATCAGTTAGTTAAATATCTATCGTTACCATGGACACTGGGGGAAGGAGGATTATTTTAGGAGTTTCCTCCCTGAATCATTCCCTTCTTAACACTTGCTGTCACTCATAGATCCGCACAATGTAACTGATGACTTTGACTACTCTGATACTCAGGGCTACAACCCTGAAATTTACTGCTAAGGGGAAAATAAGTTGAATGTGAATATTTTGCATCTTAGGGTCACTGTTTGTTTGGAACTCTGAAAGTGGAAGTGCATGAAAAGAGATCAAAAGGGTGGAAGAGAGATGCGCTTTGTAGGTCAAAGTAATAAAATTGAACTGAGGTGCCAGGAAATATTAGTACATTTGCCCTAAACATTCTAAGACCAACAATCCGTGGAAACTAAAATCTGCATAATTTCAAAGTTTGCTGAAAGAAATAAATGATGAGAAAATTCTCATTTCTTGATAAGGTGGTGCTCACAGAGTCACTTATAGACATGGTACAGGTAAAGAACTGGTTGGATGGCTTCTGGGGAGGGAGGAAGGATTGAACAATAATGCGAAGAAAACTAAAACTCGCAGCAAAAGTGAGATCTCGAATCTGGGGAGATGATTTGAGTTGTGAAGTATTCACACAGAACTGGAAATTAATCCACCACAGAGTCTGGAGGTTGCTGGTTAGGTGTGCAACTCCTCAGAACAGCAAGCCACAGATTAAGAAAAAGTGTCTCACTCAATTACTGAAGGATTAGAAAGTACACAATAAAAATCCAAAGGGAGGTCATGGAGCAAAGTTGAAATGATTCTACTCCCACAGCTGTGTGGCTGCAAATTAAAAGACCCAAATTACAGAAGCATCACACTATTGTGTGACCTGTGGAGATTCCTCTTTCTTCAAAGGCTGTGCAATTCCATTCATCGTGAACACCTCCAAAGATGTGTATGTGTTGTGATGGATAAATGTGTACTCATAACACATGTACACATGTGGAGCACTGTGTATAGAGAGCTGTGTAAATAAGACTTTTTACAGTGCCTTTGTACTTAAATCGAAACACTGTATAAGATTTTTGTCTTGTTTCAATTACAAATATTAACAGTTAAATAAAGAGAGGGAAAGAAGGTCTGGTTTCTTTTCATTCACGGTGAAAAATGAGAAAAGGATTACCAAGTATGCAAATATTTGCTACATAGGAACATTTAATACGTGTCTATATAAAAGGTCTTAATATACAGCCCTGGCTAACATAACTCAATACTATTTGAAGAGGTGTCTCTGCCTCATCTTGCATCACCTCTGGATGACAAGGCGGTGGGGTAGGAGGGGGGATGCCACACTGATTTATCTTCCATTGTTACTTCTTGCTTCTTAGTAACCATTTGTAAAATGGGGAGAATTCTTTTTAAAGGCACAGATTATCATCATTTCATGACAAAATAAACTAATAGCTATTGCTTATTGAATGTTTCCTCTCTCCCAGACCCTTCCATAACTAATAGGTTCTATAATTAACCCCAAGATGCAGATGAGAAAACATCTGAAATTTCCTCAACTTGGGCAAGCAGTAGTTTTTTTGTTTTGTTTTGGTTTGGTTTGGTTTTGCCTGTTGTCTTATTCCCTGATTGAGGTCTGACTACCATGATAAAGATCATTATTATGTATTTGGATCTTGAATGTCTCCCGTAGGCTTGTGTGCTGGGGTCATAGTTCAAGCTCATGGCACTACTAGTGGGTGGTAGAACTTGAAGAGCTAGAGTTCTACCCCCCTTCATTAGGCACATACCCTTGAAGCAGATATGGGGACTTCTCTCACTTTTTGTATCCTGGCTACCATGAGGTTAGCAGCCTTCTCCACCATGTGCTCCTACCATGATGTACTATGCCATCACAGGCCCAAAGCAACAGGACTAAGCAACCAGGAACTAAAACTTCTGAAACTGTGAGCCAAATTAACCTTTCCTCCTCAACAATTGTTTATCTCAGGTATTTTGTTATAGTAATGGAATGCTGACTGCCACATTATGCTAAAGAATATATCATTGAGATGAACCTTTGGTTTTTATGGGATTCAGTCTGATAATGTCAAACAAAGTGGCAAATCATTTGTTAAAAATGCAAATGACAACATCTTTTATAGTTTTCATAGATCTCAAGGAAACTTGGAAAATGGAAAGAATTATGGTGACATATGATTTCCCCGAGTAAGGTCTCGGCAACTAAGGAATGGTCAATATTATAAATTAGGACTGATGATGAAAATCAATTTATGCACCACATTATAAAACTGAGTTAAAGATAAATAAGTTTTCTAGGGTAGAAAATAGCTGGGAATTAATAACAAGACATAATAATTTGGGAGTTAAAGGAGCCCTAAAAGTTTCTCAAAGTAGGATTCCTAAATCACTTGTATCAGAAGTGCTCAAACATAGTCAAAATACAGATCCTAGGCCCCATCACAAACACTCAGAATCAAAACATGTCTTTTGAGATAAACATCTCAGGTGCTTCTTGTCACTTAAATCTGATAGACATTGACATAAAACATCAGATCACACTTTGAAGAATTTGTATTTTGTATTATTCTAATACCTAGAAATAGACGTGGGTTTTTTTGGGGGGAGTGATATTTGTTGCTTTTAGATACACATGACAGTATGGTATATTTTGACATATTATACATACATAGGGTGCAATCCATTACA